TTGATAGGAGCAAGTCGATTTAGAGATATTTTTGGACGACTAATTGGTACACTCTCTCGAAATATATCAACATTTTCGGGGATAAGACAAAGTTGACAATATGAACGGGACAGAACTATACTATATGTGAACGATAGTAAACTATATTTATACTCGATACCAATAACTTAGCAACAAGTTGAAACGAAGCATTCGAAGGGCTCTACTGTAGAATACTTACCATCAGTCTGATAAATCAAATTATATAACCACGAGTTGTTGGCATCGAGTAAGAGTCAATAGAATATAGAAAAAAAATCAACACTTGCATATAATCATTGCACATGACACGAACCTAATTAGTAAAACTTTTCTTGCGATATTAGTTAATAATAAACATCTAAACTTCTACAAGATTTTTCATATTATAACATAGTTTACAAAATTATTTGCATATTTATTGCCATGACACAGAAGGCGTAACATTTAGGTAGAGGTCTAATCTGCCGGCGACATGTATCTGTGTACATATCCATATTATCCATTGGCAGAAATACAATTTTACCGAAGAAAAACCGAATTAATATAACAGAATATTTTACATATATACTTATATGAAAATTTGTGCAAATAAAATGTCTTAATTTTGTATTAAGTATAAGTAAAAATAACAAAATATTTAATCGCCGATAGTTAATATTTACCAATTATAACGCACACTCGCTTCCTTAATACTTTATCCACAAAGTAAAATAAAAATGTTTACCGATGCATATTATTAATAGTCCGCTGCCTTGCAGCATGTGTTTAGAAGTGAGAAAGTAAAGAATTACAATAACTCAACAATGAACATGATTGCTAACTTAGTTAGCACTAATATCACAAAATAAAATACTACAAAAAAGATAAAAGATAGGCATAACACTTCACCACTCCAAATAATAAAAATTAAGATAAATAAATGAAACAATCCTCCTCCAACTTGAGAACTCGAACAGTGGATTCATTACGTAACAAAGGAAAATACAATACAATAATGAGAAGTGGTGAAAAATAAAAATAAAAAAAAATACAAAATAAAACAAAAAGCTAGTCCTTTTCAAAATATACCAACGTGTCACTACGTTGAGTTAGTTTGTGCGATTGACTGGCGCTGACGTACCTACCTAAATAAAATCACACTGCAAATTGTTAATACCTTGTCGGCGACTATATATCCTAAATATTTATGTAATACACAAGTTTAACTATATACAAGAACGTGATCTAACAAAATCTTCTTATAAATTTAAACTTAACATACGTAGATATAACTATCTCAAAGTTGTGCGCTAAAATTTAAAATACAGAAACTCAATGTATAACCGATTAATGCTTTAAGTAAACGTAATATTAAACCTACTCTATTTTAGTATCCAACCAGTAGAACATTAATCGATCTCTTAAAGGCAGCGTTCAAACCGTGAAACTTAAAGTAACGTAGATTATGTGTAAATCATTCCCAAGTGGAACTTAACAATATACATGAACATTAGGCGTGACGCTAACATAACCTAACAAATATTATTTCCCTTATCAATGGAAGAACTGCTGATTTTGTTATACGTCCTAGGAAACCTAGGACTGCTCCGCTATCCACTAAATATAATCTAAAAGTGAAATAATAAGAGTTGGAAACTTTAGTAATAATATTAAACATACAAAATGAATAAAAATTGCGCTATGGCACTATTAAGTTAAATGTTAACATATTGATATTTCCCACTATACTTCTCTTGTTAAAATAGATTCAATCAAATAGGTACACATCGTACATAACAGTAGGCTCACTAATAGGTAGAGAAATATTTTAATATAATCTATTATTTATTAAAGTCTTTAGTAAGATAGAAAAGATTTAATATAATTAAATATATCTATTTAATAATGCTTGCGAGTGACAACGACGCCATGGCCCTGTTCTCCGCCTGGACATAACATGTTTCAGAGGCCGGTTCGCGAGTTCCGATCACATCACACCGGTAATGTTACAATTTGCGAACATAGACAAAGTTATAATAAGATTTATCTGTAATACAGTCTTTGGTTGCTGTCTTGCGGTATCTCAAATAACTAAAAGAAATGTTTTAGGCACTTCAGGCGACAACTCGTTTAGTAACATTACACTTTAATAACCTGCGTAAATGGAAGGCACATTTCAGACTTTTGTAGCACCTACATATGCTAATTTTCAAAACAAGTTAAATTCAACACGCAGTAACTGGCCTCAAATATTACATTGTATATTATTGTCTAATATTTGCACAACCATACTTTAAACAAGATAACATAATGAGCTTTATTTTATGTAACAAACATTCGTTATTAAATGCATAACAGTATTCTTGGAAATATTGTAATACGTACAATGTAAAAATGTACATGAAAATTTTAATCCAAAAATAGAACGAATACTATAATCGAAACTTCGATATCTTGACGACCTAAAACTAGCCAAAGGAAAAGTGTACATGTTCACGTGGAATCACACAAGTCCAGCGCAAACCCGTGACTCACTCAGACTTGCGCAGGGTCAGGCGAGGAATGCGAGGGCGTGGAGCCGTGCGGCGACCTGGAGCGCACCGCCTCCACCTTGATGCCGGGCGGGAGCTGGCCTTCCATGCCCGGGATCAGGAAGAAAGCGTTCGGTGGGTACACGCAATCTTTCGGCACGTAGCAGTCGTGGGTCGTTTTCATGTGATTTTTCATCTTGTCCGGCCTAGAAAACTCTTTGCAACAGACGGGGCACGGAAATACTTTCCTTTGATGACCCTCGTGGTACAAGAAAGCGTGCCTCTGGAATGAATATTTGTTTTTAAACGTTTTTTGAATGTTCTCTTTAGCGCACTCGGTGCACTGGTACACTCCCTCATTGACCGACGCGTATCTGAACAGATTGAGACCCCTGACTGACATTTCAGTGAGTTGCTCTGCTGGGTCATTTGATGCCGAGTTAGCTCTTCTTCTTATTCGTCTTCTGACAGCTGGCCTCTGCATTTGGTTGCCGCCAGTCTGCAACGTGTTATTATTTAGGGAGTCGTTTTGGTACTCGTTGGATGTAGAAGCCTGTGTTCCTGGATTAACGCGTACTTTTCCTGAACCATCGTGTGATGGCGACTCCCGAGTGTATTTCATGTCCTTATTTTCAGAATCTGGGCTATCGCGTCCTGTAATGTAAGGATGAACTGATAAGTATTCAAATAAATAAAGCATTAATATCAACGATTTGCTACTACTTCTTGTACAAAAGGATAATGTCACAGGGACTAAAGAACGAGATGTTCAAAGTTTTAAAATTTTAAAAATCCCATTGAAATTGTCCTTTTTTATCTACTTACTAATATCAATCAACTTACTGTATTGCATAAACTTGTAAAAAGGCATATGAAATTGGCAAAAAAGGAAATTGTGTAAGTCACATGGAATACAGGTAAAAAAACAAAAGGAAAATAATAAAAAAAAACAAACTGAAAATATATTAACTTTATTTGTTCAAATTGAATGACGAAATTTTATTACACCATGATTAAAATGAAAACCACGATTCATGAAACCATTTCATAAACAAGTTTACGAGATAAATAGTAAATAGTGTATTGTAGGTAGCTGCCAACTTGTAAACTAAACCATACAGTGATACGAGTAGCTAGGAGAAACGAAAAGTTAGGGGAAACAATCCAACATAATAATTTAGAATAAACTTGTTCATGAGATGCATTCAAAATAAAACATTTAAAACTAGAAAAAGTGAAATAATATCAATTTTGGAATATATGTACTAAGTGTATATATATTGACCAAAACTTGAATCATCAGTCCTATAAATTAAAACTCACTAAGCAAATAATTTTCAAAAGATAACAGTGATTGTGTTCAATGAAAATATGTTGTATCAAAACATGAACTTGTAGCAAAATCAAACTGCTTAAACTATTTTAAAATAACCATAAATTAATAAATTAAAAAATAATAACAAAAAAGAATAGATTTCACTATGACATAATAGGACTCAAGTGTTTGCATTTGGAACTATTTCGGCAAGTTCAGTAGTAGGTACATAATTATAAAAATAACACTTCAGTTAACTTAGTTCTTAAGATCACATAAGGTGGGTTTATAGTTGAAAGTAACATTAAACATAGCAGCCGTGCGCTTCGTTTGTTGCGCACGGCAATATATGTAGGACATTAAATAGTTGCCAATATATTGTAAGCCGAGAGATACAATCATGTTTGGATTAAATATCAGGAACATGTAATTAGCCTCATTAATCAATATCTGGATAATATTGCATCAGAAATATCTAAGAGTATGGTATAAATAAAAATAAAAAGCAACAATTTGTACTGGACCAACAAATCAATACTTTGTTCATTGCAGAGCATCAATTTGAGCAACATAGAAAGCATTAAACGTAATCTAGCTCTAACCACACCATCTACGAAACGTGAGAGTAGCGTCCATAGGATAACGTACCTGCTCAGTCCCCTCTGTAACATTCTACAGTGTTCCAATGTCACTCCATCGTTGACAACACTATTTATGTCTATAATATTATAAATAACTTAACTTTTAATCTACTCTTTACTAATAACCCGTGTTGTTACTTTGCTACTATTTAAATATAAAAATAATTAAATATGTTGTAGTCGTTAGTGTTCGTCATCGTTGCTGCGTACATCACGAGTGACAGACCATGTAAACATAAATCAAATCATGTCACTAATTGTAAGTATTATAAGTCAAACGGCAAGACAAGACATCCATTGTCACCATACACAGTGGCTGCTAAATGTTGTAACAAATAGTTCATACATACATGGGCACGAGCTCGCAGACCTCGGCCGCCTCACAATAAATAAAATAAAACAGGTGAAAACTTAAAATAACAATAACAAATCAAAACAAAATAATAAGTGTCATTAAAATATTGGTTGTTTTGCTGTAACTTTTATTATTTTCTTTAAAGTTTCTAAAAATAGTAATTAACACCTTATTGTATACCATTGTATTTTGTTTTTATTAACAAATATTCTATGTCGTGTAACTTTCAATTCTAAATGTATCTAAACATTACTCTTTGCATTCTCTATTGTCTAAGTGCAAATAACAAAAAATATGGATTTGCTTAACATTTGGCTAAACTCTAGAATATATTTTAATTGTCGTGTGAATTTATAAGTAAAGATATAATTAAATTTCGTATCTGTAGGTTTAATATAACTTTTGTGAGAGATAAAGTTAACAACTTAACGATCATGATTTTGTTTGACGAATTGGCATTGGCTATTTGTTCATATATAGTATGGTCGTACTGTTTAAATAATAGTGTAAACAAGATCACGATAAGTATAACCACGCTTTAGGTGTATTATACAACCCTGTAGATTAAAAAAATAAATATATTTCTCTACATTTATATCTTCTCCACCAATCCCTCAAACAACCCTAGGCAAATATATTTATACTGAACCGCTATGATATACTTAGTTATTCGGAAGTAATTTATATGAGATGAAAATTATGATATCAATCTGAACCCAGAAAATCTTTATACACGATTAAGCTATCTTTCAATAATTAGGTACTTGTAATAACTTTCATAAATATTGCTTTAAGTTTTCTTAGTAATCTGTGAGTAAATATATCCTTATTATTTTGTTTCATTTTGGAACTGCTAATATTACAACATTTCATTTGCATAGACAATTGTGAATGTTTTAGAGTCCCTTGATAGAATTTGTCAACGGATAAATAATGTAACGACTATAATATACATGCTCTTTAAAACAACAATATCAACAAACAATATATAAATATGTATATTTAGGGACAATCCATTTATGTCACATCACATGTGACATTTTCTTAAGTATAATTTAGCACCAATTATGATATAACATTAACAAATAATAAAATTATTCATTATTGAGATGACAATAAATATAAGTTCAAATACAATTTCGTTTGAAATGTATGTTTTCGAGTGTAATATAAAGGTAAAGAAAACAATGATACATACACATGTATTACACAAGTAATGTAGTCCAAGTAAGAGTAACTAGGTACACATAAATGAACGGGTTAAGCTTAGGCACTGGCTAAATTGACTATCATAAATGTAAGTGATTTGTTTACTCGTTCAATAATAGCCTCACCATTATTAAGTCTAAATTTCCTCTTTAAGTACCTATCAATGTTCAAGGTAAATTTCGTATAAAGATTTATGAAAGGTAGGTACAATAAATTCGTTTTTATGAATTTTAGCAGTCTTAATATTGATTATCAAGACCCGACGCCTCGAAAATTACACGAATTTTTTTATTCATTTTGTAAATAACATTCACGAGTTGTTCCGATTTCCAAACAAAATGGAAAACATGAGATGATATATTCTTAATTTTAATTACATCTTTTAATTAACTACTTGGGCCTAAAAGGTTTCTAAATTCCTAAGGAAGCTTCTTAAAGTAGACATTGTAAACTCTGAATAATGAAAATAAATAATACATAACATTTTTGAAATTTCTTAGTCGTCTAGTAGTCGATAAACATTAAACTTATGAATATACAAGTAAAGGCACACTAATAGGCAAGCGTTCCCTGGACCTACGTTTGTATTGGAGAATTTGGTGTTTGGGTCGACGACGTACTGTCGCACTCATATATACGTTCCTATTGAAGTAGACACTACTACCCATACTTACTAAACTCATTTTATACAATTATTATTTAAAACAATTTAATTTTTCTCGTTATTATTGAAATATGAAAACGTGTCGCTATAATTACATGGAAGACTACTTTTGCCTCTAAATTTAACTAAGTAAATAATTTTATAAGTACCGTTCCTTACTTTAAATTTAAGGCATTTTGTTTTCTACTAAAATAGAATTTACAAATCATCTCATGATTCCAGTTACATATAAACTTCATTCAAAGCACCTTGCTAAGATCACTTCAACAACAACGCCTTGTTGTATCTTCTCAATATATACAATTTAAACATCAACCTTTAAAATATATAATATGTTACATTTGTTTTAAAGTTGCTTTAGTTTATAGTAACTCAAATATGAATAAGGTAGATGTGTTTGTGATACGGCTATGGCACCGCGACTGCGCCCGTTGTAAGCACGGCCGCATTGTAATCGGCCGGACAACAGATGCAGTACGCGATGATAACCTTTATACATTAGCTACAGTATTTCTTGTATTGTCTTTGACAAATAGATATTTCACATGAGTAAATAATTGAATCATTTAACAAAGTAATATAATCCTATTATATTTAATGTTAGGAATTTAAAACTTTTATTAAAATATCTAAATGATTTGGGGCTCTGTTGAATAATCAGGAACTGAACGTTTGATCTGTAGAAGTACTACAATGTTTCGCCCGTGATACTGTAGCGCCAACTATCCTATACGTTTTATTGTATTTACTATGTGTATACTTTAAGCGATTTAAATAAGTAGATATTTGAATAGTACAATAACATTTACAACCAAATATTTCAACATTGATAAACTATTTTAAATTAATCTTAACAAATTCTAGAAAATAAAATCATAGCCTGTGTTGAGTTTTACTTCGAAGAAGTCAAATCGTCATCTACAACTAAGATCACTATTAAGGCAAGTTAAATGAAAATGCATTTTCCCGCTACTACTTACGCAATGGCATTTTGTTGTAATCTTTTTGTAAAGAGTTTATTTGGCATTTTCATTAGCCTCTCGAGATACGTCGCTGTCCGAGACAGACAGACGTATCGCCTAGCACAAGACTCTATTTACAAAAAGACCACGCCATTGCTTTAATCATAAATATATTAACTAAACTTAAACTAACTAATTCAGTTCAATGAGAATTGCATTTAATATTCAGCACATAAACAATTATACTACTTTCGAATTTACGATCACCATGAGTAGTTATTTTGTACCCTGAAAAAGTTGTAACTAATAAAATTAAGTAACAAGTTAAGTGCAAAATAACAAGTAAATCATAGAAAATTTTATAAATCTCTTTGAAGTTAGCACTCTGAGAAACAAATGGAACAATAAATAAATAGATAAATATTAACAACAAACGACTGGCGTCGCTTAATATCAACAAACTTATTGACATACAGTATGTAAGTATGAAACTTAGAGCTCGAACGCTTACTCAATACGCAATCTACTTTTATAAACTATTGAAAATCCAAATTTTAAGTTAAATAACGTATAACATGAATAAAGTCTACTCTGGCTAATCAGATCTCAATACATCTGCGACAAAGAGTACTACTGAGTGTTGCCGACTGCGGCTGCGCTGTCTAGGACTCCTGCTTGGCCATCTGCTCGTTAGCATTGGGCTGATTTTTATGTATGATCTTGAGGTGAGCGATCATGTTGTCTTTTCGAGTGAACTCTTTGAAACAGATGGGACACGGGAAAACTTTAACGTCTTTCTTGTGAGAAGTAACGTAGTGCCTACAGAAATTACTTATATGTGTATAGACTCTCGCGCATATCTTACATCTGAACACGTTCTCCCCTTCCTTGATGCAGTAATCTCTCACAGACTCGTTTGTCTCCTCGTGGTAGTTACCCACGCTACCCATATTCGCCTTCCTTATAGGAGAGGGAAATATACGATGTTCCCAGTTGGTCTGTGCTAAATCGGATACTTCGTTGTTAGCCAAGTTGAGGTTATTTTGCTCTAACTCAGCGGCAAACAGCTGTGTGGCGAGAGCTGGCATCAGAACCGGGTCCGGTGGGAATTTGTCGAACGTATTCAGTGCGGGATTCAAACTGGATAACCCGGATAGTTGATTGAACAAGTTTCGAGCTCTAATTTTGGACATTTGGGGTAGTAATTTTTTACTATTCTTTGGCTTTAAGTTACGACCTAGTCTGTTTTTATCTTCTGTGTCTTTAATAGGACCGTCTTGGGAATTAGAATTGTCGCGGCTTCTATCAGGATTATATTTATATTCGATTGGTTCATTGTAACCGTCGTTTAGTTCAGCGGCTGGCTCTTGTTTAATTGATCCGTTTTCTATGGCAAGCACAGGCCCGTTTGTTGAAAAGTTTTGTTGTATTTCTTCTTTTTGCGGTTTATCGGGATCTGAAAAGTTTTTTCAGGTCTCAATGTATGCGAAATTTATAAAATAAAATCATTTATATTCATTTTACTCGACATCGTAATTGGAAATATTTTAGTAAAACAAAATATTGTAATTTTACTCGGAATTACTGATTTAAATACAATTATTGTGATACGAACCTATATTTTACTTTATTTTGATGAATAGAAAGCTACCAGAATATTTCCAATTGCTTTAATACCAAGGAAAGCTATTGGGAATAAGCCTTGTTTGTGTTCCCTTTTCTTATTCGTAATATGAAAACATATATCTTTACTCGAAGAAGTTTTAAAAGAAAGAAATTATCAATCAAACCATTAAGTACCACACCGAGTTTGCCCCTGGCCATTCCTCTAATAGCTCTCCCCAAAAGCAGAAAAGCAAGCAATAGTTAAAATTGTCGATTTATAGAAGAAAATAAGCATCTGTTACTCGTATACGTCAAAAAATTTCATAGATAATCACTTACCCCTTTTCAATAAAGTTTAAATATTATTAAATAATATAAAGTAGGCATTTTGTAATACACTTCACTTTTCACTTATCGTTTCCTATCATCAAAGCTTATATCCCATTAGCTTTTCCCTTTTAAATCAAATGTTACTTTTATAAAATTGTTAGATATTTGGAAAGGAAGATTAAAACAGGTATTTACAAATAGTAAGCGAGTATAAACAACAACATTTTCATTAATTTCTGGCGCGACTTTTTTGTACAGTTCAAAATTCTATACACTAAAACATTCGGTAAAATGTATTTGGTGAATAAAACAATATTTAATTTAATATGAATCCTTCATAGACAAATTACTTTCTACCGACGTAGCTGAAATGTAACAGTGTTGTAGAGGTTGTCACATACCTGCAGACTCGGAGTCCTTGCCAGTGGGTGCCTCTGTCGATTGCGCGTCGTCACCTTCGTCAATGAGTAGGGCTTCACCTGCTTCCTCGCCCCCTGACGTTGCCCCGTCATCAGCGTTAAAGCTATCCATTGACATTTTAACTTCCAACATCTCTGGAGAACCTCTGATCAGTTGGTCGCCTGGACGGTTCGATGATCCGTGAGAGGTAGGCTCCGAGACGAACTCTCCGGGAGGACTAGCGGCAGTGTTTAAAGCATCACTTGAACTTCCACTGAGTTTTCTAGGCCGACCTCGTTTTCGTTTAGGCTGCATCAACGCATTACCCAATAAAGGCATTAATAAATTGGGAGGTGCTCCTCCGGTTGGCACACCCGATGCTGGCCTTTTCTGATGCATGTATGGATGTATTCTGTGTAGTTGAGGAGGAGGAGTGTGCGCATTCGACTGTTGCTGTATTAACGAGTTAGTCAAAGCTGGAATATCGCACTTCTCCTCATTTACTTCTGTAAGTCCTTTTATTCTTAAGCTCTCGGCTACTTTTAAGAAAGCCGTCAGTCGCTCCTGGTCCACACTTACTTCACCCCTGTACATGAAATCGAGTAAACTCTTCATGTCCGAATACGGAACGTCCTTCAATATAACAATGGGATGTTTCTCCTGGTGGTTTACGAAGAGAGCTTGGAAGTAAGGACTGCAAGCCGACAGGACCATCTTGTGTGCTTTCAGTAGCTGGCCATCAACGGCTAGTGTAACGTCTGTGAACGTCTCAGCGTGCAGTAGCTGATCAAACACAGACAACATATTAGACTGGTGGTTGTTCCACCGCAAACAAAACCTCTGCGTAGCCATTTTTGCTTTTGTATATATTCTTCTTTGGAAGATATGATTTCTGCCAGTCGAGGCTTAAAATATAATTTTACCAACAACTATTCAATCATGTATACATAAGTATTCTCTCTTGTTCCATGAACAATACAACAAAACGTCAACAATAGATAATGTTTACTTTTTAAAAGCCATTTTCAATTTGTATGTTTCATAGTGTTTAGTGCAGTTTTGTGTCGGGCGCAGGGAACCTGTAACAGGAGAACATGCGTTTTTTGAAATGTTGTTGTACAACGATGTACACTCTTATACATAGTAATAGCATACACTGTATTGTGTTTGTATGGTCATAAATTACACTTTAACTAAAACAGAAAGTCGAGGATCGTTTTGATTTCTCTCCTTTCGTGTCTGTTAGAAGTAATTAGGTACATTGCTTATGTGATTACTGATTACAGTACTTGTGCACACTTGTGCTTGCTTCTGTCACGCTATTATCCTCGTAGGCTATTCACGCAATATATACCGTGGTACTTATCCAGCTACTTAGCTACAGTTTATTCTAACCTAAAACGCAGCTGTATGCAACGGATTTTATAATAAATATTATTATATCGTATTTATATTTGTATAGAAAGCACAAACAGTTTATTTATGTTATAAAGAATTCATTTGTTTTTTATTCTGTAACTATTACAAATATTTGTAAATACCGGGCAAATACGTGGAAGAGATAATATGACGTTTATAAAAACATAAGAGAACCCTCTCGTGTGTTAAGTTTTTGATTGGACATATTGATTGTTGAAAAATACAAATTTAATATCATTCGTTCAAATATTAAGTAAACAAGTACGCGAATGTGTTTCTATTGTGTCTTTCACTTCCTGTGATTGGTAAAACGTAACACGTTGGATCAAATTAACGCTTTTTTTTATTTAATCAGTTATATACTTTCAGATTTTCTTATAAAAATAATAATTAATAGAATTAAAATGATATAGGTAAGTAAAAAGTCATTTTGCACGATAATTGACGACCAATTACAAAAAAGAGATAAAATATTGTAATTAAATTACATTTCGTTATCATTGGGACACCAGATACCACATTCATTAATTTTTGCTAGGTTGTGAACGACACCAATAGCTACACAATTCAATCAAGGTTAAAAAAATCGAGGGCGTCTATAGTCTAGCGGCGTGGGGAGCCTGTGCATCGCGTCGGCGAGCGCACTGCAGTAGGAAACTAAATTGTAAGCTATCGTTCATTGCAGCCATGCTACACACCAAATATTAAATAATGATGGTAATGTATCAGTGGTATGCACAACGTAAATCATTGAAAATATCTAGACCTGCATTCATTCCAATTAGATTCCAATTGGAACGGTCTCGAATTTATTTTAGAACTACAAAAACACGAACATTTGCTCCACATCCACAGGTGCTGACCACAAACGTTATCGCGGTATAAACGAGCGCTCGAATTATTACTACGCACCCAGTCGAGCGCGTTACATTACGTCATCACAATGGCATTATTACCTCCGATATCCACATTAATTCAACCGATACGTCGAGATAAGCACCGTTTGAGAATAATTATATCACTGCACTAACATAAGGGAACGTACCACACGTATCTGCACCACAATCAACTCGACCCTTTTATGGGAATGAGGACCAGCCCTTCCGCCATAGTCCGAGTCCGCGTTTACGTCGCACCCCGCTCACCCGACGACTGACGGCCGCAGCCCGCAACCCCGCGCGACGTACACCGACTCGCTCCGCGACTCGAATATCTCTCACAAAAAATACGCCGTCATCATCGAAATGGCGGCAGCGGATATATTCAGCGCAGGGTGCACGGTAAAATATTGATTTATTGAAATTTATTGATTTGTCTTGGGAGGAACATCATCCCCATCAGGATACGTACTTGGCAGTTATGAGTTTTCAGATACATGTGATTATATTATTCTATACCTAGAGGTACATGATTTAAAAATTATTTTAGAACCTTTATATCCGGTATGAAAACGGGGACGATGCCGGTAGGTACCCCGGTTAAGTGAAACAATAATACAGACTAGTTTTTCTGTCTATTATTCATTTTACTTAAATTAATTTAAATCAATTCCTTCCTTTTTAGAAACAAATGTTTACTATCCAAATACGAGGCGAATATATAAATAAAACAAATAAGTAGGTGCAGATTCCTACACTTTAAATTATATGTACATGTTTAAAGTAGACATAGGTACATACATAACCATTAATCGTAAACTTAATCGATTTTAGCTTGCATTTAAAAAATAGGGTTTAATTTAACACACAAAATACGTTATGAATTAGGTAGTGTAGATTTAAATAAATGATATTTGTATTATGAACCCACCTTTGTATGGATACATTCAAGGGATGAGTTTTCCACGTGAAAAACATCAATCCATTCGTGTTGTCGCCATGTCAGCAGTGTTCTCTGTCTCTGTCCCACACACGAGCGGGGTTGGATGGACGCCCTCTACGCGGCGAGCGCCGCCGATGATGGCCGAATGCCGCCACTTTTCGCAACCGAACCAACCCGAGTCCGCACGGAAAATAGATCGCAGGGCGCACTTATATTTTTTAAGTTTCAAATTCACTTGAACAAACACCAATTTTTTTCAAATTATTTTCTGAAGGTTCGAAATTATAACTGTTAATTTTATAGAGCAATCTACCACTTGACGTATTTTTTGTAGTTTTTAAAGATAAAAGGAAGAATTTCAGGACATGAAAAAAAAAATCCGCGCGCGATGTTACTCGGAAGTGTTTTTAATAAAAATGGCCTGCCGCCTCGGCGGGAGGAGTGGCAATGGGCAATGAGGTCGGTACCCTCTCTCTGGCACCCGCGCGCGCCCCTCCCTACCGCTACACTCCGGCACAGGGTTAGAAAGTTTCAAAAGTGAATCGTGGAAAACACGAACACTGATTCCTGACTGCAATATCCACTTGAAGCAAGCGAAGGATTTTAAGGACGAAGGAAGCAAAAGCCACTTTTATTATTATCCTTCTTTAAATCAATGTTGATTAAGTTACACTAATTGTACCTACCCTTTTTATGAAGGGAAAACATAATTAAATAACATTTAAGCTATAAATAACTCGGTACATATTTGTGGTGGGTATGTTCCATAGTGCGTGCATTTATCGTTATCTATTAATGACACCCCCCTTGCGTGGACAGATCCGACAATATCCACGTATAGTGGGTGTATTGTACACAGTTATAGGTGTGTCAACAATGTCGATCTGTATCATTCAAATTGTCATACATAAGTATCCTATTTCAAGCTTAAGTACCATATGACCTAAATCGAGATAGCCTAAAAGCAATGCGTTCTGTATCCTACGTCACATAACTCTGAACTGAACGTTTGGATTCTATGATTTTTGGCGCGAACCCAGAAACTTCGTATAAAAATACCAAAGCCAATGATTTCCTTTGCACCCTTACCAGTGCTAATTTTTTTAAATTCAAAATATTTCTCAACTAAAATATTGAAACATACCTAGCTGCTTTATTTTTTGGATTGATGTGACTTAAATTCAAATCAGGACAATTTAACAATAAAAGTTACATTTATAAAATGAATGTAATATTGAAACCTTCATGCTGTTCACAGTGTTGTTCTCACCGAGGCGCGAGGCGAGGTTTACAGAGGCTCACGTTCAGCAATGGATGTTTTGAACTGATATAATTACGCTGACATTTGTGATTCATGATCATGTCTTAACAATGTCGTTCGTTTAAACAGTATCTAGTTTTTTCAAATAAAACACAAATTGATAGTTAAAAATTAATTCTGATAATTTTTTGATCATAGAAAACAATTAGACTATAAAATAGACCCTATAATTATCATAACACATATATGAATCTATGTACATACTGTATTATTAAATGCAGACCGCGTAAGTAGACAAAACAGAAATAAAATTAAAAATATGAAAGTCGAATAAACGATTAATTAGTTCGCGTTCATAACAAACGTTCGCATCGGAGTATCATAATTGTTTACACATCTTTAGTCGGTTCAACATAATACTTCCGACATACACAACGAGTGCTGCATTTTGATTCGCACAAAACATTATTATGACAGAATTAGCACACCTGCCGCTGTAAACTTGGTCGTATCGATTGGACGGAGCGAGAGCTATAATTCAGCAGTGACCTGACCTAGGTCATCGTGCCCGTGTTAGCTGAAGTCCTTACAACCAGCTGACCCAGTTTTCAGGCGGCCCGGCTGATGCATAAAAGCTTGCCAACACACTTTCCCTCTAATAACAAACACGCCCTGGAATAAAGGTTCGTTTTGCCACCCAAATAGCTTCAGCGAATAAAGAATCCGCGTTATGTTTTCACACGCATACCTATTATGCAAATTAAAAGATGATTATAACATTTCTTGTACCTACAACCGTTAAATGCTTCATTCTTTGGAAACTTTTATTACCTGAACTTGTTATGTTATTCAGAAATTACTATTTTTCTAGTAATTCATACGCATCTGATATAAATTGTTGAGATTCTCTTAAGGGACTTCGGAATGATTTTTCTATATCTGCTGAATGCTACATTACGTGTAATGTAGTGTATGCTCCTATAGGTTTTAATAAATGTCTCTACAACGTTCTGTACGTCGTACACACCACCGGTAACGGCGCTGCTGAAGCACATTACACGTGTATGACTATATGTTCTAAATAAAAATAATGGTCTCTTTTCTCAACTTTGGATCTTCGAGTGGCCAATGAATAAGCAGATTTTACTGTAACTACTCGCGAAGAACGGTCGACGTTAACTGTTTAAACTATGAGAGTGGTAAAAGCTACGAACAAAAAGAAATCCTTCGGCTTTCTAACAGAGACGTGTGTGCATATTGTCGACAGTCTCATTTACTATGGGTTGGGATATCGTCTTTCATGAGCTATTCAAATGCATAGAAACAACATGACATCTCTCTTAGTTGCCTAGATTTCCTCAGGATTATTCTGTCTACTGTTTCTCGCGCGAGTGCAAACCACGTAGCAACATAATAACAATTTTCATGAAACCTTTACAGAGGAAAGCTCTCATAATGTTTGTACTTAATCTCATTTCTTTAATGAATAATGCTTTAATTTCACTGAATCTCTCTGTCAACTCCATTTACACTAGATCAACACAATCACATATAAATCCCTATATCTATTAATCTTTTTACAAATCAAAGTCTTAGGAATATTCTCATTTATTTGCCTGTGTGTATCGGACGAGGAGCATATAGTTGAAATGCATTTTTGGTTTCCCAATATGATTGTGCCTTAGTAAGTAGGTGTAGATAGAAGGGCCCGTCCTGCTAGAATCGGTGCGTCTAACGGTCGGGTTTCGGTTCAATGACTCGATTCGGACGCTCAATTTTCGCCGTGTACTGTTAGATATCTCACGGCAGCACCACTGCAGTGACCAGACGAATCTGTCCATGTTACGGATGTAGTGTGATGTCCCTATATGCATATAGGCAAGTACGTTAAATTATGCTCGCCAACCCTAGCTAACTGCGGTTGTCTATCTAGAATCAGTAACTTGGTAACTAAAGTACTTAATGACATTTAAGGGCCTTTCCGACTTCCAAAAGCTTCAAAAAGAGTATGCGTGGCTATGACTCATGTTTAGATGCAAGGTACTTAATATAATTAATGACATATTCTCGGTAGCTATTCTAGGTTGGATAAATTGTTTATTTTCAGAAAGTTTTTACAGGTATAATAGTATATTTATAGTATAAAATTAAACACCTACCTACATATACAACATTGTTTTAATTTGAGTTGCTTCAATTACTCTTTTACTCTACGGAAACAATAAAATGTATGGTTTCAACAATTCATTGTACATTATACAGACTATATAGCTTGTTCCTATTTACAAATAAATCCCGATCGAATAACATTGTTGTTACTCATATTTGAAATCAATGAATTCTTGGCATATGTGTCAACCGCGCAAAGGGAGCGGCGGCTGATTCCTGCCGGCCAACTCCCACTTCTGAGAAGGGCTAGTAGGTGAGATTGCAACTCTTTGCTTGAACTTAATTTCCCGTGTAAATCATTGCTAATTTTTGTTTCTTGTCAAATTATATTAAGTGAACTATGAATAAAAGTTCGTAATCTTAAATTAGTCATCACGTGTTTAACGGTTGCTATCACAATTACATCATTATTGTCTTGATAATAGTGTCATAACTATTATTTCAATGAGTACATTAATATATAAACGATTACCTGTCTTTACGAGCACGTCATTCTAGTTCCTAATTGAATATTAATTAATTCTTACATTATTAGGCTTTCATTTTCCCAAATGACCCAATAAGTACCGAATTTTTGTCGGTTTGATTGCCCAATTTTATCGATAGTAAACATGGTGAATTCCGACATTATCATTCATGATAAGCAACGTCTTCTCACAGTTTATCGGGCAGCATTCGCACAATCGGAGACACCTGTCGATGCGCACTGTGGCGGTCTGCCTACAATCTCATTTGTGACCAGTGTGCGCGTACCTTCTCATACTTATTTCCTTTTTACTTCTTAGTCATTATACATCATGCTTTCCTTGTCATCTTCCCTACATAGTAACTTAAATCAAGAGTGAATACGAAAAAATCTTAAATGAAATGATGTATCCAAATCATCCGAATGGTCCGGAGTAGGCGCGCGGTGCAAAGCATCAACAGCAGCCGTTAGCGAGCGATGTCCCGTTACTACGCGGCTCATCACTAATTCCATCTCACGAAAGCTCAAATTTTGGCGGTGAATCAATTAACCCTGAATAACATCCGGTACACGCAGCGCCACTGCCTCTTTACTTTGAAACTTTTAGTGAAGGGGTAGCTAGATGAGTAAATTAGTGGTACCACATTTTTGTATTTCCTACATGGTTATGATTTGAAAGAGTTAAAAATATTCCAACTGTGTTATTTATTTACACCAAACGGTGTGAATTTTCTACATCCATCAAAATGTTTAGCTTGAATATGAAAAACAATGTTGCAGTTACTATTTTAAATATCAAATGCTGTCGTGATGTTCATAGGCCTCGTTGTTAGGAGGATAATGTAGTGGAGAGATAATCGGGCGCGTTGAGGCTGGGCGCGCAGCGAGCGTGTCGCGCGGCGCAGTGGTGTGGACGCGGAGGCGCGCGCGCGCCCGAGTGGTTGAGATTGCGTAAGCGCACGGGGCCGATTTCTAGCGCGGCTCCCACGCCGCAAGGTCAGCGCTTCGGAGGATTGCTCCCACTTGCCGCCGCCATCAACGTTAAATACTAACAGCTAACATTACTGATATTATGCAAAGTTACCCCGTTTAGTTAGTTCTTTGATTTATCATTCAATACTACTCTATAATTATTTTATTCAGTAATATAAAGCACCGTAATTGGTGCTGTAGCGTTTTATTCTATTCATATAAATAAATAAAGAATTCATGACAACCAAGTGATACCTACATAAATATTGTTTAAGTATATGTAGGTACTATTATTCCTTGTCAAAAATACGTTTAAAAATATCGTCTGATCATTATCCAAATCAGAACCCCTGTATTTTCTCAAATGAATACCTACCACTGTAGGTACAATATTATACTTAAATGAGAACTAAATTGTCCAAGTAGTAAGAATATAACCTCTCTCACTTCACATGGGCTCATCAACACCCGAGTGTTCAGATTGAATAAAAAACAAATATGATTTGTAAACTGTTTTAGAAACTGCAA